GTCTGTCTGTGTGTCTGTGTGTCTGTCTGTGTGTCTGTGGTTGCTGTTAGTTTAATAATACATTCAGCTCCAGAGGGGGAGGAGTCACCCTCGCTCTGTGATTCGGCCTTTAAGAGGAAAAAGTTGTTCAGTTTGGAGTTCACAGTTTCAGTACATTGTGCCAAAGTGACAGTAGGAATGTAACCAGATCAGATTTTAACCATCTCAGAAAATATCATAATAATATAATAACATCCTGAAAAGAGTGTCAGACGTTGTTCTCTCCTCTGCAGCACCTGAAGGACAAGTTCTGGAACTTCATCTTCTACAAGTTCATCTTGGTGTTCGGCGTCCTGAACGTGCAGATGGTGGAGGAGGTGGTGATGTGGTGGCTCTGGTTCTCACCTCCTGGTTCAGCTCTGTAAGGACCGCTTCGAATATGTAAGATCCCCTGAATCGTACCCAACCACAGAGAGGAGTACAGTAGAGACAGCAGCTACTTTCAAACTATATTTCAGCTTTAGATGAAGAATAAAACGAGTACAGAGGCTCCCGTAGTATCTCCTAAACCAGTAGTGAAACTAAAAGTATGAAGTTTGTCCTGAGGATGGCGCCAGAGGAAAGCTCAGGACACAAAGATGATCAACTAAACTAACTGGTTCCTGAAATCAAGTGTTCCTTAAAGTTAATAAAAAAGGGGTTTTGTATGGTTTAAATACAAAAACAGAAATAAATATTCAACAAGTCAAGTAAAAGAACTGAGAAATAATCAATTATGAATTAAAATATAAAATATTTAGAATTTGTGTCCTGAAGTTCTAATGTCACCTTCTTATCATAGACTTTAGGGTATGAAAGACTTTATATATAAAACTTGTGTACATAAATACACCAATATGAGGAAAATACACTCAGAAAACACCAATATTATATTATATATTATTGTAATTTTAACTTTTTATCTCATAATTTATGAGAGATTTAACGAGCTTACTGGTGATCGATGTAAATTAGCTACCTAGTTAGTGAGCGTTACTGACATATAACTAACTAGCTAACAATTAATGTAAATGAGCTTGATTGCAAAAACAGAAATAAATATATAAGAGTCACAAGTTAAAACAACTGAGAAATCATAAAATATTTAGAATGTGTGTCCTGAATATGTGCTAATGTCACCTTCTCATCACAGACTTTATGTAAGACTTGTAAATACACCGATATGAGGAAAAGACACTCAGAAAGGGTTTGATTTATGAATAAAGTTCTAAAGTTTGGTTAAAATAACGAGAGAATGAGAGAACAAGCTGTCAGTGAATCCAAACTATCACTGAGGGTCAGTATGACTCTGTGTCCGTCCAGCTGTCCAGCCATGCCCGGGTGCTGCTGGTGCTGCTGGTGCT